GATTTGATTTGTTATTAATTTCTTATTTTAATAACTAATAAAAAGTAGAAGGTAATTTAAAATTTTAGTAAACATTTAAAATAAAATTTGCTATTTTATAACAATTTTAGAGTAATTTCTGATGGTGAGGAATTTTTTTACCTGCAACCAATCGAGCTAACAAATTTTATGCGACTGACAGAAAGTTAAATAACAATATTTTAATTTAGATAGAAATTATTGTCAAACTTTTTCCAAAATTATTTGGAAAAAGATTATATTATAAGAATAATCCACGAAATCTTGAGTTTAATTATAAATTATAATATAACTGGATAATTAGAAATTATTTTTTTTTATTTGAAAGAGAACTTCTGTCATTTTTGATATTTTAAGCAAAATATTATTGTGTCCAGTATACTGCAACATTATTATGATTATTTAGTAAATCTTAAATATACTTTCATCATTTCTGGTCAATTGCAACATTTGTTAATTCGTAAATTTTGACACTAACATAAATATTAAACAGATGATCGAAAATTACGATCTTTTGAGAATCTCGATAGTATGAGATGAGATGAGACGAGATTTAAAACAAAACAATGGGATATTTTCTCATTCTTTCTCATTTCTCGTATATCTCGCTCAAATGCATCACTAGAGCCACCATTCCATTATTGTCCCATTATTGGCACCCAATAATGGACCACTAATGGTAAAATCGTGGGATGTCCACGCCGATGCCAATAATTGGCAAACCATTATTGGCACATTATTGGCTGCCATTAAAAAACCAATAATAAAAAAATTTTTTTTATTAAATTTTATTAAATAATAAATTTATTTATTTAATAATTACTTTATTTATTATTATTATTTATTATTATTAAAAATAATTATTTTTTTAATTAATTATGTTATAGAAATGGTTATTATTTTCTATCACATCGAAATGTGAATAACCCATTCGTTCAGAGTCTAAAAATTATTTACCTCACATCCATCAGTGCAAAAATAGGAGAGGACGGGCAGAATAAAATTCTACAAATATTCGTGAGAATGCTGCCTCCTTATATACTTTTCAAGTTTCATGTTAGTTGCGAGAGAGTTTGAAACAACACCTCCTACGGAGCGCTGAGCGAACTACATACAATTACTTACCGACGCTGCAGAAATTATCATGTAGTAAGTATGTAGTTCGCTCAACGCTCCGTAGGAGGTGTTGTTTCAAACTCTCTCGCAACTAACATGAAACTTGAATAGTATATAAAGAGGCAGCATTCTCACGAATATTTGTAGAATTTTATTCTGCCCGTCCTCTCCTATTTTTGCACTGATGGATGTGAGGTAAATAATTTTTAGACTCTGAACGAATGGGTTATTTACATTTCGATGTGATAGAAAATAATACCCATTTCTATAAAATAATTAATTAAAAAAATTAATATTTTTAATAATAATAAATAATAATAAATAAAATAATTATTAAATAAATAAATAAATTTATTATTTAATAAAATTTAATAAAAAATTTTTTTTTTTATTATTGGTTTTTTAATGGCAGCCAATAATGTGCCAATAATGGTTTGCCAATTATTGGCATCGGCGTGGACATCCCACGATTTTACCATTAGTGGTCCATTATTGGGTGCCAATAATAAACCTAGAGAAAACCAATGGCTTCCAATATTGGGCCATTAATGCACCAATGGTAGACAAATGGCCATTTCCCATTGGGTACTATTTATACCTATATATGTATAAAATTGTACAAAAATATCAGTGAGATCTATTTCACACATATTCTAAAAAATAAACTGTACTTATCTAATAATTTACAAATTTAGATTGATATCAATTTTTTACTAATTTTCAAATAAACACTGTACTTGATCTAAGCCTCAATTCATTTATGCGATATACTTTAAATATTTTGATCAAATATACCTATAAAGCACCTTAGATATCAATAAGATACTTTCTTTTTAATAATTCTATATTCTATAATCTAAGATGGAAGATACCAATTATAAATTATCTATTTTTGCAGTGCCTTGTGTCAAGATGGTATAATTATATACGAGTGACATACATTTTTTGCACCTTCTCCCACTACTTGAATTTGTAACAATAATCATATTAACCAGTAAAAACAATAAAGCGCAATAAATAAATAAATTTTAGTGCAGAAAGTAAAATTCAACTTCAAAGATTAGTGATGCAAAAATATATTTTCATTAATTATTAAAATGAATTTTAGAATGGACTTGGTAGTTTGAGTTTTAAATTAAATTAATTGACTTTTACTTATATATGTACCACATAAAAAATTAGACATAATTCTTATAAATTTGAACCAATTAACAATTAACCTTGTTTTGATCACAAACTTTACTACTATTTGTAAAAATAAAAAAATAAGATTTAAAAACAGACAATAATACAAATATTTTCTCATATACAGTGAGTTCTCGCGAGTCGTTCAGTTCTCAAAAATTTTCAAGATCATAAAACTCACGAGTCGTTCAACGCATAAGCCAGTTTCAGGGATGTGTGAAACATATTTTTCGCCCCGAAAGACACAATATTCAATGGCTTTGGTTCGTTTAAATTACACAGCATTGAGCACCGGCGCGCGCATACTAGAAATTGAACGACTCGTTAATCGGACACTGATCAGCTGTTGAACGACTCGCGAGAACTCACTGTATGATGAGAATGAACGTACACACATAGTTTAAAAATTTTCAGCATTTTTCATTGCAAATCTGCAGCAGATTTGTGACAAATAGCAAAATTTGTCTTTGCGTGATAAGTTTTCAGAAAAGTTCAGCAGCAAACTTGCATAATATTTACAGCAATAAGTTTCCAAAAAAAGTTTCAAAACTTTTTTCTGCATGCAAGCCTTTACTCGCGGAAAGGCGACTAAAAAAATAATGCTCAGGCCCAACTATACCATAGAAAACACATAAAATTATTTTTTTTCTTACTCAACCAAATTTTCTGCAAGTTTAGACAATTTTGTTGCAAATTTTCAGTGAAAACTTGTTGAAAATTGTTGTGCTATCTGGGTATAATAATAAGAATATGAATTACTACCAAGACCATAATAAATATATAGAGCTACTAAAAATGAGAAAAATTTATAAAATAAGGAAAAGAAATGAAAGCAAAATAAAAGATAATTCTTACTCAGGGCTCGAACTAGGTCCGTCAATCCCGTAAAAGTCCGTAAATTTTCTTAAAATCCGTAAAAGTCCGTTTTTTTGAAAAAAAAGTCCGTAAAGTCCGTAATTTGATAGAAAAAAGACGAAAAATTCGTAAATTGTACTTTATAATTTTGGAAATTTTGAAAAAGTTAAAAATGATTGCAGAAATTCAATTATTTTCAAAAATAATAAAATTCTTCGCAGAAATTCAATTATGTTCAACAATTTTTTTAAATTCTTATCAAAATTTCAATTATCTTTAGAAATAATTAAATTTTTCTCCGAAATTCAATTATTTCCAAAAATTTTTCTCAATTAAATGATTTTCAATATCTACTATTTTCATAAAATTTTCCAAAAGAATTCAATTATTTAAAAAAATTTTTAATAAAATTGTACGCAAACATTTAATTATTATCAATAATAATAAATTTTTTTCTAAATTTTAATTTTAATTATTTTTAGTACAATTTTAATCGAATTCCTCGAAAAATGTAATTATTCTTAAAAATTTTATTAAAATTCATTGAAAGAATTCAGTTATTTAAAATTGTTTTGATAAAATTCTTTATGAGAATTCAATTTTGAAAAACATGCAATTATTCAATAAATTATTTATTTTTGTATTTAAATAATATTTCAATTCTCGTAGAATTTTCTCATAAACGTTGATTTAAAAATGTATTTCAGTTAAAATTTTAGATTATAATTGAATTTTAAAAGTAGTATAGCGTGAATTTTAAGAAATAAAAAAATTTTGAAAAGGTTTTAAATTAAAAGCTTTGAAAATCTGAATTTTTCATATTTTTAATTATAACAATTCTGTGGAATTAATGTTTTTGACAAAGTTTAATTGAATTTTTTTTGGAACAACGAATTTTTATTACATTTTTTAAATAATTAAAATCTTGTGAAGAATATTATTATTTATGAAAATAATTGAATTCTTGCAACGAATTTTATTAAATTTTTTTTAAATAATTGAATTCTTTTGAGAAATTTTATTAAAATAGTTGATTTTGAAGATGTTTAGTAAAAAAATTCAATTTTCTAAAATTTACAAATTATTGCAGAAATTCAATTATTTTCAAAAGTAATTATTTTCTTCGCAAAAATTAAATATTGTTCAAAATTAATAAAATTCTTCTTAGGGATTCAATTATTTTCTCACAAAATAAAACTCACTGCAGAATTTCAATTATTTTTAATTCAATTTTAATCAAATTTTTCGAAAAATGAAATTATTCTTTAAATTTTTATTAAAATTTGTCAAGAGAATTCAATTATTTAAAACTTTGTTGATAAAATTTTTTATGAAAATTAAATTTTAAAAAACATTTAATTATCCAATGAATTATTTATTTTTGTATTTAAGTAATTAAATTCTAGTAGAATTTTTTTTAATAAAAATTGATTTAAAAATGAATTTTAGTTCGAATTTTAGATAATAATTGAATATTAAAAGCAATATAGCGTGAATTTTAAGAAATAATTGAATTTTGGAATTAATTTTTTTGAAAAAGTTTAATTGAATTTTTTTATATTATTTGAAGTTGTTTTATAGTTATGTAAAATTGAATTATAGTTTGAAGTAAAATGTTCTCTTATTTGACTCGGACTGCTTATATTTTTGTCAGTAATTGGTCCGTAATTTTTAATTTTTGGTTCTTAAAGTCCGTATATTTTTAAATACTTTCTCTGGTTTATTGAATGGTTATTGGTTCTCTGGTTTATTCTTATATACTGTAAAGTTTTAAAAAATTGCCATAAAAAATAATTCTACTCTAAGAAAAATAACTCCAAGGTAAATAATTTAGATAAAAAAATATTTTATTCAAATAATCGGAAACTTTACTTTAAGCACTATAAAAAATAATAAATAAATTTTCTTGTATCAAGTAATTATTATTTAAGGCGCAATTAAATGGTACGAGGAGATAAAATTTATTTGGTTGTAAAACCGTTTAACTGACTTTTAAACAATAATTATTTGATACTAAATAACCGATTAAGTATTTGAATGAAATAAAGTTTGTGTGTGCAAAAAAAGTGATTAGGAAATAACACAACAGCGTTTACGCTCCTTCTCAATGAAAGTGTCTCTTCTGCTTTTGTCATTTACCCTTTTGCAATTCTTCTTTAATTTTAATTTTCTTGTCTGTTTAGTCGAATCCTGGTTGGTATTTAAATTTTCAACCTCTCCGTCAGATTCTTCATGTGTCATATTCGGATCATGAATCCTTCGTCTTCGTTTTCGTTTAGTTTTCAACGGTTGTTCGGACAACGGAAGTGGATTGGCACTTTGATCGTTGCCATTTTCGATGTAAGTCGCCTTCTCCGTCTGCGTTGATTTATCAATTTTAATCTTCACTTTGTAAGATTCGTCATTGTAAGGGATGTCGTTTATCGTGAAACTGTTAATGTGAGAGACAAGAATCTCATTCGTAGTTTGTTGACTCCTACCGTCGACTTTTTCATCCAAAGATCCCTCAACACTTTCCGATTTGGTTCTAGCATGTTCGGTGCAACAACTCTCGTTCGACACCATGTTACTCGCGTTGATAATCTTAATCTGCGGAATTTCGCGATTCTCCAATTCCAAGAGGGCATTCGATTTCGAAAAAATGTTGTCATAGGAATGAAATCCATGATCACTGTCACCTTCGCAAGGTTTCTTCTTCTGCCAAGAAACGTCACTGTTGCTACGATTTCTTCGCAAGTCGTTGGTAATTTCAATCTCCTGTTCGGAATCCACAGCCTCTTGAGTCGCGATCATGGCGATTTCTTCCAATTTCAATTTTAGCAGTGCTGGCGAAACTGATTTTTCGGACGATTCTAACTCTAAATTGGGGGTATATCCGACAGCTGCCATTGTATTGGGGCTTGGACTTTCCATACTGTCTGGTGTGTAAGGATCATGCTTAATAGGTGTTGCGTGCAAGAAATTAGACGAGCGATCGGTGGCGAATGATTTGGCACAACTACGGCTAACAGGCAACAAGGATACTAAGTCCAAGTAATTGTCTGGCACTCGAAAGCAAAATTGAGCAATGTTTTGTAAGTTGCAGCAGTTTATCATACCTGCGTTCAAGGCGAGATTAACTTTCAGGTAGACTGGCTGCAAAGGGAAAATGCACGATGGAGATGTAATCGTTTGTCAAGAAACACAAATTAAGGAAAACAAAAAAAGGAATTCTTTGAATCTCTTTCTTACTTTGGAAGTTTCTAATATAATACCTAATACAAGGAGGTATATTACTCTGTCTTTAGTCAGTTTTACTCATTTTTAATATCTTACTTCAAAAAGGGTTATTTTACTTTTTCTTGGTGCACTAATACGTAAAAAGGATTTTACTTGTACTCTCAGACTCTAGCCTATCGTTATCAAGAAAATGTCCTTATTTCAATTTCGTGCCGGTTTCTCAAATTATGTCTAACATTTTATTCAATTTATTATGTATGTATTATCAGAAATTTATTGACTCTCCTCCACTTTCCCTCTTCGTCTCTCTTTCTTTCAGATAACCGATTACTTATAATGTGTAATCTTGTAATTAGTAATTAACAATGAAAGAAATAATAAATAATTAAATTTTTATTATTTATATAAAATTTACTTTTAATTTTACATTTTTTAAGTTTATAATTGTTCATTTACTATATACATTAACATTAAAAATTAATACCTTCTATAAACTAAGAAGTTTTTAAAGGTGACATATCCATTAACCCGTTAATACCATTAATGTGAAGAAACACATTTAAAATATTTTTTTAAATTTTTTTAACTAATTTTTCTTGTTTATTTTATAATTTCAAAGACAATAAAAAAATTTTTTTTTCGCAGTACAATAAACGGAACTCTTATTGGTTTTAATTAATTATAAGGGTTCGTAATAAGCTGCACACCAAAAACCCTCCGGTAACGAATTTCCATCAAATTTGTTGAGTTTTTCAAAAAATAGGCCGCCATATTGGATTTATTCTGAAGTTTGAAAAATTAACACAAGGTCCGTAATTAGCAACCCTAAAAACCCCTAAGTAACAAGTTTTAGGCAAATCCGTTAAATTTATTAAGAAATCGGCCGCCATATTGGATCTTCCATATTGAATTTTGAAGTTCAGACTTAAAATACGTAATTGCCGATAAAGAGTGATGAATTTATTAATGTTCTTGAATTAAGTAGTGCCAGATGTTAACATATCAGGAATAAAATAACTACAAACGCATATAATATTTGAGCGTGGTATTCTAGATTTTCTTTGTAAACAATCAAGTATTTCTTTCAGTATCAATTTTTTAAAATTTAAAATGTCGGCTTAAATATGGCTGCCAAGAGGCGCATGATTATTCCCCAAATGTCATTTTACCGAATATTATTTATCCGAACTTTTATTTTAACGAAATGTCACTTTTGCGAATCGACATATTTACGAATTGCCACTTTTGCGAAAAGTCTTTTTTGCGAAATATCATTTTTACGAATTGTCATTTTTTACGAATCGTTATTGTTCCGAAATGTCATTTTTTCAAATTGTCATTTTTACGAAATGTCAGTATTGCGAAACGCCATTTTTACGAATTGTCATTTTTGCGAAAAGTCATTTTTGCGAATTGTCATTTTTGCGAACTGCTATTTTTTCGAATTGTCATTTTTACGAAATGTCACTGTTACGAATTGCCATTTTTGCGAAAATTGCTATAGTAAACTTGTATCCATATATAGATTTACTATAGCAATTTTCGCTAAAATGACAATTCGTAACAGTGACATTTCGTTAAAATGACAATTCGAAAAAATAGCAGTTCGCATAAATGACAATTCGCAAAAATGACAATTCGTAAAAATGGCGTTTCGCAAAACTGACATTTCGTAAAAATGACAATTCGAAAAAATGACATTTCCGAACAATAACTATTCGTAAAAATGATACTTCGCAAAAATGACTTTTCGCAAAAGTGGCAATTCGTAAAAATAACAATTCGCAAAAGTGACATTTCGATAAAATAACAGTTCGGATAAATGATATCTGGTATTAATTTCTTAAAATTCAAAAGCGCGGATTCAATATATGGCAGTAAATTTTTTTAAAATTTGACGAATTTCCTTGAAACTTATCACTTAGCGGTTTTCAAGAATGCTGATTACGAATTCGGTCTGAATTTTTCAAAATTTAAAATGACGGATGCAATATGGCGACCTATTTATTAAAAATTTAACGAATTTGTTAAGGAAGCGCAAACTATTATTGCAAATTTTGAAATGTTAAATAAATATTCTTGTACAATTTTCAAGCGTCTAGGATGTCATAAATTTTTTTATGTAAATAAATAAAGTAAACTTTTAAGAGTAGTTGTGTAATTTAGTGGTTGTTTTTAATGGGTTATTTACTTTTGTTATAAATTTTAAAGCAATAAAAGAATGTTTATAAATCATTTTGAAGTTAGCAGAATCTTTAAATATTTTTTAAACACTTTTGAATAAAATTTAAGGGTAGTTTTATAGGTGAGGGGTGGTTTATAATCAATTAAAACCAATAACAGTGCTGTTTATTGTACTGCGAGAAAAGAAATGTTTGTTGGTGTCTTTAAAATTATTATAAATAAACAAAAAAACTTGTTTAAACAAATTTTAAAAAAATATTTTAAATGTGTTTCTTCACGTTTTCGACCTAACGTCCTAATTCCAATAGTTGGTTTGCGTCAGTATTTATTAGTATGCCCATGGGCATTAATGGGTTAATTTAAACACTAAAACACTAGACAATTACTGTATTAATCTTATATTGAACAATTAAAATCTTATCTATACATTAAACGCGTTTCTCAAATTCTCGATTAACGATAAATTCATGATTAATTTTCAGTTTTCCCAGTCAGTAGACACCATGAGAAGCTTTCATTTTTGTAATTAAAAAATTTTATAATAAAACATAAATATTCATCTCGAAAAACAAAATTCCCGGAATGACAAAAGAATGTTTTAAAATTTTTTTTAAACTTAGTCTTGATCAGGTGAAAACAATTTCTAAATTTAAGTGGCTCGAAAAGCGCGCTTTGAAAATTTATAAATGTAAATATTGAATATTAGATTGAGAAAAGTCATAACTTAACAGTTTATTAATAGAAACGAGAATATGTCAAGAAAATTGGCTATTCCATGATAACGATAGAAGAGAAAAAAAAGGTAAAAATCAATATATATATATATGAAAATTTGTTTTAATTAGGTAATAAATTAAATACAACACTACATTGAGCAAGCGCGAATATTATAATTATGATGATTCGTGAACTTAAGTATATATATATATATATATATGCTTATAAAAGGAAAAATGGAAACATATGAAGAACGAGGGTGAACAAAGACATGAATATAGACAGAGAAGTTTACAGATAGGTACCTTAGTGTTTAGATATTCATTCGAAACTCCAGAAAAACAGGCTGCACCATAATCATTAAACAATGAATCATCAGAATGAGAATAAAGAAATACGTAAGTTTATGTTCCCAGATAGAAATTTTTATACTAATATAGATATTTAATCCTTCAAAAATCGATAGATTTATACTTGGGTATAGTATATGTATATTTATTTACTATTTATTATTTTAAAAAAATTATAGATTAAACCTCTATCAATAACTGAAATTAAATAATAAATAAAATATACTATATAATATAAATAATACATAATTATAAATATGTAGTCTATATTTTTTGCATCCTCTTCAATTTCTTTCCAAGTTTTCGCAAATGAATGTTTTATTGTTATTTAAGAAGATGTATTATTGGAAAAAAATCTGGCGACCATAAAACATTAATATGTATTGGCCTCGCAGAATCAAAGAAACTCTCAACGTACCTTATGATCCCCCATACATTTTGTTGGACCTATTATTCCATATTCCACATCATTTGGTTGAATCTGAACTCAGTTAAAAAGTGAAAATTATTTGAGAGTCTTTTATTTACCTCTTTTTCGGAATGAAAGAAGCGCAAGATTGTAATTACATTTTGAACTAGTTGTTTGGCAGTGGAACTCAGTAAAATCCGATCACACCAGGCCGGTACTCTAGTTTGCATGTAATTTGCTCCTTCCTGAATGTCCTCCTCGAAAGGATAACTTGGAATGAATTTTATCGGGAATTCAAAGAGTCTTCCGTTGAAATCGTCAAGTTCTTTGTCATATTCCTTAAGCTGTAATTGAAACGAAAATTTATTAAATTTCAAAATAAGTTTAATAAATAATTGATTTCAAGCCAGGTGGAAGAAAAAGTCCTGATCATTTCGAGCCTCACAAGAGCTTCCCTTAAAATTTCAAAAAAAAAGCTTGGAAAGATTCCACTGGTCATATCATTGGATTGATTAAAATCTTTAATCTAATAAATTGCAAATATTCACACTTTGTGATATTAAAACATGATCTTTTCAATCTTTTTGTTGTAAAGTTAAAGTCAGATTTTTAAAAGTGTGTGGTCAATATTTTTCATGAAATTTATGTTTTTCTGTTTTAAATAAAAAATACAAGTTGAACAGTTTTGCAAAATTCGTTTTTTTGTTGTACATATTGTTAAACAAACTTTTTTGCATGAATTTAGAAAAGTTTTTTTTTTTAATAAAGTAATAAGTAAAATTTAATGATTTTTGGTATGATTATATAAAAATAACACGGTTTGCGATTGACATTTTTCATTTTAAAATTTAACGTAATTTGATAAAATTATAAACTATTTAAACAAATGAAAATAAATGCAACTTCTCGATCTGTTATTTTATTTTTCAAAATTGAATATTGTTCCTTATTTAATGCCCAAGTATTACCAAAAAGAAAAAATTGGTATTTTACATTTGTTCAAAAAACATAAATATTTATGTTAATAACAATAAGCATTAAAAAATCATAAAATCTTAAAAATATTTTTTTTAGCTTCATTAATTAATAAAATTAATTAAAAAACCTATTAAAATAATGTTTGAGTGTTTCTGATGTATGAAAAAAGTATACCTAACAATTTATTAACTTGTTTAAACAATTAATTGTTGTTATTTTTTTAAATCTGCACTTAGGGCTAGAAATTTCTAGTTTTTTCACAATAATTGTGCAATTTGTCATGAGTAAAACATCTGCTAATGATAAAAGAAAATAATTAATTAAACATTGTCTAAACAATTAATTGTTGTTACATTTTTCATAAATTGTACTTGGGGTTAGAAATTTCTAGTTTTCTGTATTGTGCATTTTCTTGTAACTACCACATTTAAGTATCAAAGAAAAACAAAAAATTAAATATTTGAACATTGTTTAAACAATTTATTTTATTAATTTTTCAATTTACTGTACTTAAAACTATAAATTCCTAGTTTTTTCTTAATTGTGACATTTTTTATATAACTTAAATTTTTTTTTATCAAATAATTTTAATACATTTTTTTAATTCTACCAATTACCGATAAATGTTGGAAGTATTGTTTTAATATTTGTGTACGGAACCGCCATTGCAGTGCGAGTGCAACTCGCACTTGTCCAATTTTTTAAAATTAGTGGGCAACGACGTCAGTCGAAATATAATAATGGAATGACTCATAATATAGTGTGCAATAACTTTATGTTTTTTCTATTCTTTGATGTGTTATATGTTATAAAACATGAATGACAAATATTAATATAGCACTATAATAAAACTTAAAAATTTTATTGTACTTACCCACTGGCCCTCATTTTCAATGAAAACATTTTGATGTTTGTAGTGAGAAAACTCTTTCTTCCCCAGTGTTAAAACAACAGAGTCGTCATTATTTCGGAATTGCATTTTCGAGATACTGCCTTTAGCGGAAGTTTTACTTTCTCGTGTGTCTTCCGTAAGTTTCTGCAAATTAATAAAAAGAAAATATTTGGGACGCGCTCCGAAGAAAGATACCTAAGAAGCAAATCACCTTGAGGTTACGTTTGTCTTTTAATTAATAAAAGATAGTTTATATTGAGAGTTGATCCCCTTTATGTAATTTCATTGAAAAAATTTCAAACATAACCTACAATTTTTTATTTACTTCATACACCTTTCTTCGGAGTGTATTACATTAATATTTAATCTTTTCGGAAAATCTACGTAAATAAAAACTAAAAGTAAAGTCATACACTTTCTAATTGAATATAATGCTTATTCAATTTAAAATAATATAAGAGAAATTACTTACTTTTATAACACTGGCAGTATCAGTTCTAAAATTAAAATCCCCGAATACAAAATAAGGGGCGTTTGGATACTGGTCGTTATGAAACCTTTCTAGAGTATGTTCCAGGGCTCTCCTTCGCGTTTTACTATACACTGACGGAAACTGCGAAATAAAAGCCAAATGAAATGATTTACTATTTTTAAAATTTGTAACTAAGTTACAAAAGGTATTTTGGTATTTAAAATAACAAGGATAATTACTGTTTCCATGGCGATAAAATTACTCGCATCGTGGAATAGATGTATATTGATCAGATCAAAAATTGTTCCACTGATACTCCATCTTGTCCGCAAAAATCCTTTTCTAGACCACTTGCACTCTGGGAAAAAGTCCTGAGGAAACTTTGCTTTTTCCTTAGTTGATACTGTTTCAATATTTCCCGAATGCACTTCTTTTCCGTTAACTGGCAAAAATTCGCCATCTATATAATGCAATGAAAATTTTTATTACTATTATTAGTTATTAATTTTTTAACTTTGTTCAACAAAATAATTCATTAATTAAAGTATAGGGGAGAGTCGGGTAAGAGCGGAACTTAATGCTTGAGCACAAAAGCATAAATTTCAAAAATATCGTCTACTAGTGTTAAAATTCACATTAAAAAGTATATTTTTTTAATCAATAATAATATTACAATTTGCGAAAGCATTAAAAAGCATAATTTTAGTTGCAAAGCAGCATAATGTGTATCTAAGCATAAATGCCACATAATTCATCATAATATAAAACATAATTTTATAACTATTGAGCAAAAACATAGCATAGTTTATTAAGTGAAAGAAGAAATTTTCCAAATGCAAAGTATAATAAAAGCACATAAAAAACATTATTAAACCAGCTCGAAGAAAGAATAAAGTTTTTTTAAAATTATTTTTAAGAATATTGTGTTATAATTGAAAAAGAATGATGTATTGAAATCATTCTTTAAAAATAATTCTACAATAAATTTTTTTGGTTCCAAAACAAACCCAAAACGAACTTACCCGACTCTAGCTCCCCTGTACACAGGGCTCGAACCAGTGAAAGTATTTAAAAATACGGATATACTTATGGACTTAAAATTAATTAAATTCAATTAAACTTTTTCAAAAAAACTAATTTCAAAATTCAATTATTTCTAAAAATCCACGCTATACTGCTTTTAATATTCAATTATAATTTAAAATTTTAGCTGAAATTTATTTTTAAATCAATTTTTATTAAAAAATTCTACTAGAATTCAATTATTTAAATATACAAATATAAATAATTTAGGTACTGAATAATTGAATGTTTCTTAAAATTCAATTCCCGTAAAAAATGTCACAAACAAATTTTTAAATAATTGAATTCTTTCGACGAATCTTAATAAAATTTTCAAGAATAATTACATTTTTCGAGAAATTTGAATAAAATTATAGGTATTAAAAATATTTGAAATTCTGCGATGAATTTTAATATTTGTGAAAATAATTGAATCCCTAAGAAGAATTTTATTATTTTTGTACAATATTTAATTTTTGCGAAGAATATTATTACTCTTAAAAATAATTGCATTTTTGTAATAATTTGTAACTTTTTCAAAATTAACTTTTTTTTTGTTTTTAACTAAAATTCTTCTATAAATGCACTATTTTGAATAATTTTCAAAAAAGTTCTTTGACAATTTTCAAATCCACTTATTTACAATATTCAATTTTACCAATAATTATTCGTAAATTCTTCATATATTCGAAAATAAAAACTTCAAATAAAATAAAAAAAATTTAATTAAACTTTTTCAAATAAATTAATTTCAAAATTTAATTATATCTTAAAATTCACGCTTTATTGATTATAATATTCAATTATTATCTAAATTTTAACTGAAATTCATTTTTAAATCAATTTTTACATATTAAAAAAAATTCTATTAGAATTCAATTATTTAAATACAAAAATAAATGATTCATTGGATAATTGAATTTTCATAAAGAATTTTATCAACAAAGTTTTAAATTATTTGAATTCTCTTGACAAATTTTAATAAAAATTTAAAGAATAATTTCATTTTTCGAGAAATTTGATGAAAATTGTATTAAAAATAATTGTAATTCTGCCAAGAATTTTATTAAAATTTTTGAAAATAATTGAATGTCGGAGAAAATTTTTATTATTTTTAAAGATAATTGAAAGTTTGGCGAAAATTTTTGTAAATTTTTTAACATAATTCAATTTCTGCGAAGAATTATATTACTTTTGAAAATAATTGAATTCTTTAGATGTATTTTATTAAAATTTTCTTTTTAAATAATTTAAATTTTTTGTGAACTTTTATTGGAATAGTAGACATTGAAAATAATCAAATTTTGACAAATTTTTGAAAATAATTATATTTCTACGAAGAATTTTAATAAAATTATTTTTAAAAAATTGAATTGTTACAAAAAATTTCATTAAAATTTTTGAAAACAATTTAATTCTTTAAAGAAATTCAATTAAAAATGTATTGAAAATAATACTTAAATTCTAATAAATAAATTGTATCAAAGGTTTTTAAAATAATTGAATTTCTCTGATAAATTTGATTAAAATTTTTAAGAATAATGACTTTTTTCGAGAAGTTCCATTAAAATTGTATTAAAAATAACTGAAATTCTGCGATGAGTTTTATTATTTATGGAAATAATTGAATTTCTGCAATAATTTGTAACTTCTCCAAAATTCAATTTGTTTTAGTGTTTTTAACTAAAATTCTTCTATAAATCTAATATTTTAAAAAAAGTCTTTGAGAATTTTCAAATTTATTTACAATTCAATTTTTCAAAATTTCAATTATTCGGGTATTTCTCAATTAAATATATATTAGAAAATAAAAGCTTCAAAAAAATAATTTCAAGTAAAATTCAATTAAACGTTTTCAAAAAAATTAATTCTTCTATAGAATTGTTAGTTAAAAGTATGAATAATTCAAACTTTCAAAGATTTTAATATGAAACCTTTTCAAATTTTCAAGTATTTCTAAAAATTCACGCTATAATACTTTTAATATTCAATTATAATCTAAAATTTTAAATAAAATTCATTTTCCTAAAAAGAATTTTATTATTTACGAAAATAATAATTGAATCGCTGTAAAAGTTTTATTATTTATATATAAAAAAAAAGAAAATAAAAAATTTGTAAATAATTGAGTTTCTGTAAAATTTTTATTATTTTTTGAAAATAATTAAATGTTTGCGTAGAATTTTATCAAATTTTGTTTAAATAATTGAATTCTTTTGGAAAAATTTATTAAAATAATAAATATTAAAAATCATATAATTGAGGAAAAATTTTGAAAATAATTAAAATTTTGTCTGGAATTGTATTAAAATTTTTGAAAATAATTAAAGAATTTCGGAGAAGAATTTTAATATTTCTGAAGGTAATTGAAATTTTGAGAAGAATTAAAACATTTTTGAACATAAATTGAATTTTTGCGAAGAATTTGATTGCAGAAATTCAATTTATTTTACTTTTTTAAAACAAAATGACTTTTACGGACTTGAAGAAAATTTACGGACCTAGTTCGAGCCCTGCCTGTACATTTATACTTAATACATAAATACTCAATTACCTTTAAAATCCCACAGAAATACATCTTTCAATGAGTCGTGCACAAAATAAAAGTTTCCAAGAGCCTGTAAAATGTTAACGTTAATATGCTTGAAATTTTATTTGAAAAATTGAGTTTTTTGTAATTAATTGTTTTTCTACCGTGAAGTGCTCAGGCGACGAAAAGTCCTCGTCGAGATAAACACGAACTTTATCAAACAGCCTTAATTCTTCAGAAGACATTAATAACCTTTGAATTTACAATAAAAATTATCGTATATGCGATTGCTCTATTATAATAATATTGATATTAAAGTCATTAGAAAATTACTGCAACAGTCTATGTAGCTTGCAATAAATAAAATACTGTAAAAATAGCCAGGTTTTATAAAAAAAAAAATTTTGACTTGGAAAATTGCTGAAGGTAAATTATTGAATATCGAAAAAATTTCATTGTTTTTTTTCTACTGTCATATTTCTTTTGTGCTCTACACATTTATCGGTTTTATTCAGTGCGTATCCTTTGAAGTAACTCACTCAAGCATAGCTTGTTAGATAATCTATTCTTATCTTTTTCAACCTTTATTAAATTATATATTGAATAATTAGACACGTGTTGATAATTTAATATCATCTTAATTTTCTATTAAATAAACAATAATGTATGAAAAAGACATGGAATTTTTTCTTCAGCTTATTGCAAATATTATGTTAGCATAATCTTATGCGTTAATTTAATATCGACTGATGTAAGACATTTAGTAGAAGCCTTTAAATTGAGAGAAAACTAGTTTTACAGGTTTAATATTACTGTATCAACTCTATATTCGTAAATTATTTAATAAAATTTCTAATTTTTTTCATTTCTTCAGCTTGACAAATGACAAAAACGTCTGAAAAGAATTGTTCGCAAAAAATGCGACCACCCCCTTGGATCCGCCACTGTTGTTAATTATCTATTCATGAAAGTTTCAGACAGAAAGAGAGACACGAATATAATAGAATTGGGTCAAACTACACATGAACAAGATATCAAAACCACCAAATCGTAAATTTAATTTCAATTGTACAAACTGTTTAAAACAGCTTTTCAATGACGACTTTAAATCAATTTGCCAAGTAAACTCTGCGGACCAGTTTACATCAATTTTATACATTTTATAGCAACGAATATAATTGCCGCACCTTAACATTCAACAGTGTTTTATCTCTATTTTCAGTTTTATTCTCTACATTACAGAAGAAACAGTTTATTAACACACATACCTAACAAATTCCTCCACATGTCTCATACTTTGTTCGTAATTTTTCCCACCGACTTCTTGACAGTGTAGAGCTATGAATTTGGGATCTAGTCGAGTAATTGTCTGTGAGAAAAATAAATTATCAAGCTAATTAATTGTAATTACGAATAAATGCATAAAATATTGTGTACAAAAATATAAATAAATGTTTAATTATACAATTTTCATAAGATAACGTTAATTACATAATATGTTTCTTTTTTTTAGAGTAGTATAGCTAGGGGGGTTCTGGGGCAGGTTCTGATCTCGGCTAAGTACCTACGGTCGGTAATGTAGATTTCTACTTTATCATCAGTCGGTAAGGTAGGGACCTGACAGAAATCTTGACTCAACCGATAAGGTAGGAATCTGTTTTACCGACCGAGTGTAGTTCCTGCTGCCACTGCTAGATGGCGCCACTAGCGAATTCAAACTTGCTTGGCGGGAAATTTAAAAATTTAATTTCAAACTTTCGAGTGGCTTACAAGGGGTTCTCTGTTTTACCGACCGAGTTAATTTAAACTTAAACCGCTAGATGGCGCCACTAGCAAATTCAAATGTGCTTGGCGGGAAATTTAAATTTTTATTTTCATAGCTTTAAGTGGGTTAAAAGGGGTGCTCTGTTTTACCGACAGGGTTCAAGGTTAAACCGCTAGATGGCGCCACTAAATTTTTATTAATGAAGGTAAGTTTTATTGTTATTTATAAAATATTATTTGTAAATATTTGTTTATTATATATACAAAATAACTAATTGTTTATAATTAATATTTATGTATTGTATATAAAAAATAATGAAATGTTTATAATTAATATTTATTTATTCTTAAAACTATTTATTTATTTAAGTAAGGTAAGTTTAATTAACTTCTTATTTATTAATATTATTATTATTACTATTATTATTTTATTAATTATAAACAATTTATAATTAAGGTAAGTGAAATTATTACTTAAAACTACAATAAGCGTTTTAAATTCAAATTGAATTTCGCGCGTTACCGGCGGTGAGCTCGTTGCGGGCGGTGAGCTCACAGTAGTTCAAGTCAACCGCCACACGTAGCAGAGTGGTGAGCGCGCGTAGTGGGGGAACCACTTGGTGGGGAGAGAGCCCTACGAGGGTAGCTGGTCTAGGGTAGAGAGCTCATTCAGCTCATAGCAGTGGAGTTAGCAGTCCACCATGGAAACAAGCTGCTGGTGCTACCACGGCCGGAGTATAACGTAAGTAATATAATATAATATAATTAATAAAATATAGTAAAATATAATATAATTAATAAAATAGAGTAAAATATAATATGTTTAATACAATATAGTAAAATATAATATAATTAATATAATATAAATTCATTAGTTGCAGAATGAAGGTAACGAGGTGCTATTTCCGATGACTTCACCAAGGCCACTTCCATCACCAGAGCCCAGGGTGAAGATGACCAAGGCCAGGACGCATTCTCTTGAGCCCAGGGTGGAGACGACACTACCGCTATCCCGGGCGTATTATAGTTAATATTCATAATAATATTAATTAATAAAGTATGTATTTATTCTGCGCATGCGCGAATTGGTGGGGAAAATTTAAGAGTGGGATGCGTGATAGGTTGGAGTGGGGTAAATGGTTTAGTGCGCATGCGTGAAAGGTTGGAGTGGGGGTAAATGGTCTAGTGCGCATGCGTGAAAGGTAGGAGTGGGGATTTCGGGGTATATATTCAGGGATTTTGGTGAGTTTAGTCAGTAGCTGTTCTGTTCACAGGTTCAGCGGTTCCAACAGCAGCAGCAGCAGATTCCCATTGCCACTACTAACTGTCTTTTTTGTTATATTTACTGTCTTTTTTGTTACATTTATTGTTATATTTACCGTCTTTTTTTGTTATTTATATTTACTGTGTTCTGTGTTTATTGCATTTACTTTGTATTGATTTTTAGGTTAAGTTCTTTAGTTTGTAAGTTCGTTTTGTTTAGTATAAGTATTTTAGTTTGTAAGTGTGTTCTTTTGTTAGTTTGTAAGTTCGTTCTTTTGTTAGCTTGTAAGTGTGTTCTGTTTAGTTTGTAAGTGTGTTAGCTTGTAAGTGTGTTTCTTTTGATTTCAGGTGCAGAGATGAAGCGGAAGGCGACGACCACCGATGGACCACCACGTAAGTATCCGAATTACGGTACTATTCTCGACGAGAGTGACATCACTGTCACCCTCATTAAAGAAGCCCTTGAGTTGATACCTTATTTAAGTAACGTAAATGAGAGACGCTCTTTTATCGAACGATGGGTTGTAGAATGCTCACAACATGAAAACGTGTTATCAAGCATTCTTAAATCGATGTACTTTACACATCAAAAGCAAAGATGTGTAAGCATTCTACAATCCATCATAAGGTTTCGCGCATTGTTTGAATCCCACGTAATAGATGGCGCTGGAATCGGTGACCCAGACATTAAGAAACGTGTTCGCTGGGCAGAGTGTGAGAGTGCTTTCGCGTGTAGACTGTACACTAATATGGTCTTGAACCTAGTACACGTCGATGTAAGCTCGTTTTTAAACGATGCGTCCATACTGTTTCAGGACCACATTAGAGGTGCCTTAAATAAAAATGGACCTATTGTAGTGTATGGTGTTCTCATCGCCAATTTTAAGAGGGTTGAGAATGATGTGGAGGTTGTTAAGCCTATTCCTTTTGGAACCAAGGCCAACAGCATCTTTCCCACAACCCTTTTAGACGATTGGTTTGATGAGAACATCAAACATCCGATTTTGCACAGCGTCGAAGAGTTCTATGCAAAGGGTTCAAATTGGAACCTTCAATCAATCATAAGATTAGAAATAAATGTAAATAAATATAATCCAATGCGTGCAAGCTCTTACATTGATTTACCGATAAAAATAAAAAATAAACATGCATGTATTAACGTGCAAAATAATGACAATGAATGTTTTAAGTGGGCGGTATTGTCAGCCTTACACCCAAATGTCTCCGATCCTAAACGTGTGTCTAGTTTTAAAGAATTTAAAGATGAATTGAACTTTGAGGGAATTGAATTCCCAGTGACGCTTAAAAATATCCCGAAATTTGAAAAGCTTAATGATGTTTCGATTAATGTGTACGGTCTATCAAAGAGCTATGGTAACTTTACGGTACACCCTCTCCATCTCACTGCGGAAAAAAGAGATAAGCATGTAAATCTCTTGTATGTTGCCGACATGTATGCGGATGAAAATAATGATGATAATACTGTATTGTATGACAACGATGATTTTATGAACTTCCATTATGTATGGATTAAAGATCTGTCACGCCTTGTGTCTACACAGTTGTCTAAAAAGAAATGTAAAAAACATATCTGTGACCGCTGTTTACACTACTTTTCATCTGTAGATAGATTGAATGCACACATCGAAAATTGTAAAAAAATGAATGAGTGTAAAATTAAATTACCGACGCCTGACAAGAGTCTGATCACATTTAAAAATTATAAGAATAAAGAGAAAGTACCGTATGTAATTTACGCCGACTGCGAAAGTCTACTTCTTCCCGCCGATGAAGATGTAGACAATTTAAGTAAAACTGAAGTATTCCAGCGCCACAAATTGTTAAGCATCGGCTATTATATAAAATGTAGTTATGACGAAACATTATGTAAATATGTACCATGTCCGAAAAATGAATCTGATCCTGCTAAATGGTTTACTGAGGAATTAAGGCAATTATCTGAAAAAATTGATAATGTATTTAAAAATCCGATACCAATGAATGCCTTAACTCCTCAAGAAATCAGTGACTTTAAGCGAGCGACAATATGTCACATTTGTCATCAGAAAATACCGGCAAGCGAAAAGAAAGTCCGCGATCACTGTCACCTTACTGGCAAATATAGGGGTGCTGCCCATGAATCGTGCAATCTAAACTACCAAGACTGTCAAACAATTCCCGTGGTGTTCCACAACTTAAGTGGTTACGACGCCCATTTTATAATTCATGCGATTTCTACGAGCTTTGAAGGAAAAATTGACCTCCTCCCCATTAACAAAGAGAAGTACATCTCTTTTACTAAACATGTCAAGGGGAGTGAGGTCAAATTTCGATTCATTGACTCATTGCGATTCATGGCAGCATCCCTAGAAAAACTCGCATCGTACCTAGACGAGTACAAAATCGTCAACTCCGTTTTTGCCAGTACGGTGACAGATCCGGATAAAATAAAATTACTAACGCGTAAAGGTGTATTCCCCTATGAGTACTTTGACTCGAAAAGTAAGTTAGACGAAACCGAATTGCCCCCGATCGAGAAATTTTATAGTACGCTTTATGATGCCGGTATTTCTGATGACGAGTATGCGCATGCGCAGAAAGTATGGACCGAGTTTGACTGTCAGAATCTCTACGACTATGTACATTTGTATATGAAAACAGATGTATTGTTACTTGCGGATGTCTTTGAAAATTTTCGAAAAGAATGTGTTAAAGCGTACGGGTTAGATCCTGCTCACTATTATACGACCCCCGGTTTAACTTGGGATGCTATGCTCAAGTACACGAGCATAGGATTGCAACTAATAACCGATATCGATATGATTATGTTTGTTGAGTCTGGTATTAGAGGTGGCATAAGTCAATGCTGCAACCGATATACTATAGCGAATAATAGATATATGGAAAATTTCGATGATAGCAAAGATACAAGCTACATCATGTACTTTGACGCCAACAATTTATATGGCTGGGCAATGGCTCAAGCGCTCCCTTATGGCGGCTTCAAATGGGTTGATAATGTCGACAACTCCTTCGATTTTAATGTGCCTGACGATTCACCTGTTGGGTACATACTCGAAGTTGACTTGGAGTATCCTGAAAATCTCCACGATACTCACAAAGATATGCCATTTTGCGCAGAAAATGCGAAACCACCCCTCTCGAAACAGGAGAAATTATTAACAACTCTCCAACCAAAAGAAAAATATGTGATCCACTACCGCACTTTAAAACAAGTTGTCGCCAACGGCATTAAGCTTGTTAAAATTCATCGAGTCTTACAGTTTAAGCAATCAACATGGCTTAAACCATATATAGACTATAATACGATGATGCGAACCA